TCCTTCCAGCCTCTTCACCCCGCTTCGCGGCTCCTGCGTGTGTCCCCGCTGCTCACAGCAGCGCTGCCTTAAAGCCGCTCCTGGCTTGGGTTTGGCTCCCGAGTCGTGCCCCTAATGTGCCGTGAAGATTCACCGGGTTTTTTTATGTCCCCCTGATGCTCGAATTTGTTTGTATTCGTGTGTGTACCTCCCTCCTTCCGTGTCTTTTCAGTCTGCCGTTTTGCTCGCCTTTACAAATTTATCACAGGAGATGGGGATTTTTATATATAGAAGTCAAGGCAAGGGGTCACGTTGCGTTGCCGGCTTTCATGAAATCCCCTCCGCAGCAGCAGAATGAATAGACTAAAAGTTTTTGTACTTCTCTCATTCTAACACGCTTTTTTGTATGTTCCCTTAAACTCTTCTGGGTATCTGAAGTTAGATGCCTGGCTAATCTTCACCAAAGACTTAATCGACGCTGATATTTTTACTGCCAAGTGTGGCAATAAATTTCCTGACCAAAAAAAACATGCCGGTTTCTGCTGTGGCACAGCATGGAAATGGCCTCCTGGTTTTCGTTCTAATGGCGTGAGGGATACAGCAGAGTTTGAGTTGTGTTTACATAGGTCCCAGTAAATACAAACATCAAGTGATATCCTTTCATCTTTTATTGGGGAAGAAAAATTTAGCTGGTTAATAAGTTTCATACAAAGTGTGTTGATACAGAGCAAGAAGAGGTGGCCTGTTGTAAGTTGGGAGTCTTGTCTTTTTCTATGAAATGAATAAATAAGGCCTATCTCAACTTCAGAATAAAATGTAGTAACAAGTATGAAAGCCTCAGTAACTTCTGTTGCTCTCTCTTGTAGTCTCAACACAGTTAGAATAAATATGCTTAGCCACTCTCAAAGTTTCTGTGGTTATCAACTCCACTGCTTGCTGCTAATGTTTGGTTTTTTTTTTATTATAGTTGTGAGATGAAAACCTCTTACTATGACTTCTTGAGTAGTGCCTGAAGGCTGGAAAAAAGCTATACTTATTCTGGGTTTCTTCCCTCTTTGGGTATCAGTTGGGTATTTACCTCTTGCTCTCCCTTGTTAGGGCTGTAACAGGGAGATAAAGGGATAATCTTGAAAACCATGTATTTTTGCTGTCCAGAGTTAAGCAGAAAATAAACATTTGTTTAAAATGCAACTTGAAACGCTGGGTAGAAATTGTAAGACCCTGAACTCTCATCAGCCCTGTCGTCCTTAGTTAACATGCATTTTTTAATTGGCTGTATATTTTCCTGTCCACTTTGTTGAAGTCTAAATAGTGAAATGTTTCCCTCTTCTTGAATTGTAAACTATAAAAAGTAAATGTAACTGGGTGGATTGCTCTTGAATGTGGTGCTAGACCTTTCAATAAAGGAGTACACTTAAAGGGAGTGCTGATGTGAGTACTGTCTGTACAGAAATAAGCCTTATCACATAGCAGAATATGATAGTTGGCCCATCTTTGAAAATATTCTAGGGTGAAAGCCTAGAAAACTGCTCATAATCAAGGACTGGGTTTGTGTTTTCAAGTGAGTTCCCAGACAGTGCTATAGACAGGAAATTCTTGTCTGCTGGAATGATGCTCTGCATTAAGAGGAATCACGAGTCTGATTTTCATCAGTGCAATATTTGTTAGTATCTCCCAGAGTACTTATTTTACTGATAATTAAAACTGCAAAAACAAATTATAACTGGTGCAGTACAAACAAAATGAATCCTACTTTTTCTTAAATTGTTAGAGCTAGGCTCCTAAAAAGTAATAATAAGCAAAGAGGAAGACCAAAAGTCTGTTTAAGGAAATATTGAAGTGACTTGCAGTCATGGTTCATCTGGCTGTTTTCAACCAATTTAAGTTTTCTGTATCTGGCTTTTTTTTTCACCAGCTATGCTTACAGTGTCTGAGTCACTGAAAAGATGAGCTGTACTGTATCCTGCTTTGGACATGGAAAAGATGTAAAGTCAGTATGTGATGGCAAAGTTGTTACTATGAACAGCGTTTTTGTTAATATATTTTTACAGCAGTGACCATAAGGAAAACCAACGTTCTTAAATAGAACTGGCCTCAGGTGCTGTATAGTGATTTTTGTCTACTGACAGTGAATGAAGGCACAGTATTAGTAGTGTCCTCTTCCAAAATAGTCAAATGAGCTTTCATAATATAGAACATACTTACTATGACATGTAACAATTGAAATAAAACCTAGGATCTTGAGGACTTGATCAATGAAAGTCTCATCACCTGTTTTTGAAGAGAAGAATTTCTTTCACTCTAGAAACGTCATTATGCTTGACCGGTAAATGGGGCCTGGGCCAGGAACTGTGCTTCTATTTTGCTCTCACTGTCTTTCCAGGATGCATTTTTACAGACATCCTTCAGAAACCATGAGTTTGCACAGCTGCCAAAAGAGGTTGTGCCCTACTTCCTACCAACAGTGCTTTCCTGCATTGGAGAATCCTCTAAGTCAGAGTGGATTTGGCTGAAAACTAATCTCTTGAGGTCAAAAGGGTCTGGAACGTGCACAGTTATTAGTTGTACCAGGAGAGAAGTAGTTTTACGTCAGTTTAAGTTGTTGGAGGAGCTCTAGTCTTAAAGCTTTTAAGATGGGAATGGGATCTTTTGGCAGTCAGAGCCTCTGTTCTGACTCTCAAGCTTGCAAACCTCTTTTTCTACTGTATATTACTGTGTCATGTCTTTGTATATGTGTGTCCTTCTTAAGCCCTGAGCATTGTTTTACTGGAGTGTTGCTTTAGGTTCTGCAGGTTTGGACAAAGAGCTTTGTGATATTAAGTCCCTGCTGCTATCTCCCCCATTTTTGTAGGAGTTACAGTTACTGCCTTTGTGGGTGTGAAAAGAGTTTTACAATGATGATCACAGCCTGATCCAAATAGTCTTAGAGATGTGCATTTAAAACACAACTGTGCTGTATTTTGATGAGGTTTTTCTGATGAGGAAGATGAGTAAAATTGCACATCTCTGGAAGAAAGGTGAGAAATTAAGTAGGAGTGGAATTGAAACTATTCCATCTTCACATGACTTGGAATATTACATTATTATTACTATTTTTAACCAATATGCTTTCATTGAAAATATGTTAACTATTCTTTTCCCCCTTTCTTCCTTTTTAGCTTGGTTTTACTCTTGGCAATGTGGTTGGGATGTATCTGGCTCAGAACTATGATGTAAGTATCCTTGTATTCACAGAATAGAACTTACTTTGAAAATAAGGCTATTTTTCCTCAGTCAAAACTGAATCAGTATTTATTTAAAGGTTTATTTTATTTAAATAGAATGCAGATCATGCTGACTTTAGTTACAGAGGAACTGGAATGTAAATGGAATTAAATAATCTCCCTCTGACAACTTCTCTGTTGTAGAGCAATGCTTAGAGCATGGGGGTGGGGATCTAGAGCACACGTAAGGTAAAGTGGTATCTACATAGAGGCAGGAGAAACAGAAGAGGTTTAGCAGCTGCTTATGGATTGTATTGGCACTAAAATACTAGTTTCTGTCTGCTTACAGTGTTCTACACTCAGTACATCTGTTACTTAAAAATATTTCAGAGCATCTGAAATGTCAGTCTCTGTACCAATAACGAAAATAAGCTTTGCCAGCTTTTTTTGAAAATTCAGCACCTGCACGTACTTTAATCAGTATATCAACCTGCAGTCTTTCTTTCCTTCTTTACTCACAGTGAGAAAAGAAAGTCAACTTTCCTTCCTTGGTTCTTGGAGTGAGCAGAGGTGTTTTCACTGTGAGAGTTAGAGTAGAAGAAGATTTAGAGCTGACCCTTCAATACAAGCTTTTAATTTCTGCAGAATCAGCAGAATCCCATGTAAGAGCAGTGTCACTTAGCTGTTTACAGGCCAGAAGAGTTAATGAAATGTAATACCATTTATTTTCCCTTTCTTATGCAATATATATTAGCCTAGTTTTGAAAAAAAGCTGTTGAGGCTCAGATGTCTGATGACATTTATGTTTTGAATTCCTCTCATCTTCAGTATTGAAGTTATCTTGCTTGCAGAATTCTTATGTTTTGCTCCTTGCTTGTTATCAATCTTTTGTGATGCTTCTTGTCCAGTCACTTCAACAAGAGTACTGAAAAAAGGCTGTTTTTTCTTTCCAATGTGTGTTTTATAGCATTATGAAAATGTAGTCATAAGAGCATATTTTGGTGTATCAATATGTATCGTAAGTGTAGTATAGGGGTTTTTTTGGGACTAATTATTATTATTTATAGTATATACTGGTATAAGTATTACCACAAGAGGGGGACTTAAGCTTTTGATTTGCAGGAAATAGTTCCCTGGGAATTTAACACTGACTTGCAGGATGACTAGTAATTTTATTTCTGGTATCAAAGTGGATTGGTTTTAAATGACATCTAAGATAGACTTATCATAATGAAGTCCTAATCCTGCAGCTGTACATACATGTACTTCCTTAAAAGCACATGGTGGATTCTGCTGACAACAGTGGTTTAGCTTAAATGCCAGGAGTGTTACAGTGTGGCCTGGCTAATCTATTCCCTGCCCTTAAAAGTGGCTTGTTTGTTTGTTTGTTTTTGTTGGTTTTTTTTAAGATTGTCATAATTTACTGTTGGATTGCTTTATCAAAATGTTTCTATTTGCAAGAGAAAGGTGAAGATTTGAAGTTCACAAGCGGTAAATTAAATTTTCATTCTAGTATGAAACTGAAAAATGTAGCCAATTTGCAATGCAATAGAATACCCCAGTAGGGAGTTCTGGTTTCCACAAAATGGTCCAGCAGAATATTTTCCATTCATAAATTTCTTGAGAACATATTTGCTGCTCTTGAATATCTCTTTTCTCTGTTTGTGACCAGTGCTGTACAATCTAACTCCCTCTCCAAAAGTCATTATTGAAGTCTGCACATCGCTGCTTAAATCAGCTTATCCTTGACAGTTTGTCCTCTTTCAGTGAGGAAACCAGACTGGTCTTACTAAATGTCCTGTGAAATGATCTTTTTTCTTCCCTCCTGTTCCAATCACCACTGGCTGACTTTTAATTTTAACAATCTAAATATTTCCTGAAGGCTTCAGTGCTTTCATCTGCTTTTTTTCTAACCTCTGTGCAACACAGCAGGTGCTGGAAGCAAGTGTTTTACAGAAACCAGTTTAAACTTCATGGGATTTCTTTCTGCATTTATGGTATTGCCTTTCCTGCTG